AACGCCGAGGTCGGGACGGGAGCCGATAAAACGCAAACATTTAATTAAAAGATAATCAACTGGATTGCGTGCGGCGTCCGCTAATGTTGCAGAACGGGAGATAGGACCCGGGCCGCAACAATATCGGTTCTTTATGCATATGAGCGCGCGGCCGGCAGCCGCGTCGCCGCCGCCGCCGCTCGTCTATGTGATTTAATTTTACACGAATATAAATTCGTATCGCGCTCGCGCGTATATATACCAATCCGATACGCTGCCATCTCCGATCAGCCGCGACTGCATGCCGGCTATCCGCGCCGAAGCGGAGATGGTGGTGGCGGTCGATTTCCGATTAATTCGTTCGCGAGCGTAGAAATATGAGATACGATACAAATTTAAGAGTCTGCAATCATGTTAGATTTTTTTTTTAATAGAAAAACTCGCACGTGTGTCAAATATGACAGTTCTATTACTTGATTAAAAATCTAAAAATGTGTCAATTTAATAGTATATTGTGTATCAAGTGCGGAAAGTTGACAATTGGTCACGAGTGCGACCACCCCACACGAGTGAACAATTGTCAATCCGCACGTGATACACATACTATTTTGTATTACAAGTGCAGGCAAAGTGGTTTTGTGCGCGAGGTGACCGATCGCACGCCGCCATCTTGCGGCGTGGGAAATCGGCCGCTTTTCGCACAGAAAACACGCACACAAAGTGCCACTTTGCCTGCACGTGTAATACAAAATTATTTCCGGCGATTATCGTGGTATAAACTAATAAGGAGATAAATTCATGTCCAGTTGCAACTGCGGTGACGTGATAGTGGTTAAGATAGCGCGAAGAAACGGCGTGAAAGAGTAGCGACGAGGAGCACGATCGCCGGGAATATTAAGCTCGCGGTCACGTACGCCATTACCGAAGCTAATGCAAAGCTGCCAGTCGTTTCATGCCATCTGTAACCGGATCTTTCCCTTCGACGACGAACCGGTGCGCCGCTCTGCCTCCGTAGTTTCCTTTTTTCATCCCCCTCCGCCAAACCCTCGCTAAGTTTGCCAATCGATTCGACGTGCGTTCGATTAAAGGTTTTCTCTCTTTCTCTTTCTTTCTTTCTCTTTTTCCCTCTTATCTTTCCTACATTTATTTGTTCCTACGTTTCTCTCGTCTCGTTCTATCCTTTCGCATTTTTCCTTTTCGCTTCCTCGTTCGACCTCTCGCTTTCTCCCCGCGTTAAGAAGAAAAGTGTCCCGAGATTTTTTCGTTCCCTTTCTTTCGACGGTTTTCCGCCCTCGATACTGCCTGATTTCGGTGAGTCAGTATTCAGCGTGCGCAATCGTTTTTCTAGAAACGGTGTGATAAAGCCTGTGGTTTATGGGCAAAATTCCTTTGCCTGAATCCTGGATACAGTGATTTTATGTATGTGATCTATATTCTGTAGATACGTCTTTTTCAGACAAAATTATTGTTTAAAAAAGTGTTTTAATATTTTAATTACCAAAAAAAATATCCAAAACTATGCGATATTACTATTTTAGAATAAACAGAACTCTCGAAAATAAAGTGGCGTCTTACACGAAATAATGGTTTAAAAAATTTTAAAGGCCAGTTTCACCATCTTCAGTTAACTTAATCGACCGATTAAATTTAAAAATTGCCAACCATAAGTGGGAAGAATATCACCAACACTTAAATTATAAATAATAGGGGTGTTTACACTATACATGTAAGATCGAATGCGCGTGAAGAATTTACACGTCTCTGTCACGCCTTTGTCACGTGTTACGTATCTCAACAAAAATCACTCAAAACATTGTTATACTACTACTTCGATCGCGATATTCGGCCGAACTTACACGCTACTTGGGGTTAAAAATACACGGTAGTAATAATGTCATTGTAATTAATATCTATATTATATTTAATACCACTTTTTATAATATTTTAAATGAATAGCATGCAGTGTAAAAAAACATGTAAAATTACATATTTTTATGTAATATATATTATATATTTTTTTAGTTTTTTTACACATTGTAAAATTACATGTAAAAATATGTAAAATCACAAATTTTTATGTAATATATATTACATATTTTTCTCCAGTGCAGATGCGTTCTGATTCTGTCAAAGAGATGGATGAAAGAAAAAGGTAAAAAAAAAATGTTCGAATTGTAATCAAGAATAGAAGAGTCACCGTTGTATACTATATATCTTTTAGGATAACCCGTATGCTCCCACGTGCATGCGGCCAAACAGGATGCGCGAACTCGTTCGAGCGTGGTAAGACCGATAGCGGGGTGCTCTCCTTCACGACGGTTTTTCAAGCGGGCCTACGTTGGGCGTTTCACGGTCGCGTGACGCCAGACTTTGAGCCCGGCCGCGGTCTGGTCTATCTGGCCCATTACCAGCCTGGCACGTTGAACGCCCTCGTAAATCACCGAAGTGGCTGCGCGCGTTTGTTGCCGCGATTTCTTGCTGCCGAGGAGAGATTTCTCGTGTGGGCTCTCTCGTGTGTATGGGTACCGTGTGTGCGTATGGCATGGAAGATCGTTTCAACTGTGCCCCATCTCGCGAAAAGCGCGCGACGAAATGTTTATGCGCGTGTAAAGCTCGATTTTATGACTTGATTCTCTGTCGCCGTTTCGTACAAGTTACTGTAAAGAACCATCCATATCGTCGGACATTTGAGCAATATTTGTCTAACTCTTTCTATAACGTGTTTTCCCTTCGACTGCGAAATTCGCAATGTCATTTTCTGCTAATTTACATGTCGAAATGAAAATAAGATATACGTACTGCAATTTATATATACGGGTCTTTAATTTAAAATATTTCACTTCTAAATATCTTGCGTAAAAATTTTATAAAATTTTATTATTTCTGAAAGCTTTATGTGTGTGTGAAATTGGCGTCTCATTTCGTGGAAACTCTTAAATTAAGAGTTTTGGCTTTATTTGCAATAGTTCTAGAGTTCTGCTTTTTTCAGAACAGTTTTCGTTCCGATAAATTGCCTTTCCGGAAAGTTCCGATAATTAAAACTTTTTAAAACAATTATTTAGCCCGAAAAAAATATCTGCGAGTATAGAGGGGACATCGTTTTAAGATAAAATTCAAATAATTAAACCTGACGCCTAACTTTAAAAAAAAATTAAGATTAATAATATAGTTTCTTCTTCCTCGTTTGTATCTGTATCACATTTTATTTCCATACCTTAAAAAGTTGAAAAGTTGAAAATTAGCGTCCAGTTTTTACTACTTATATAAAAGATAATTTGACCCTTTTACAAGATATTTTTAAATTTTAAATATCCTTTATATAAGAAATTACTTTGTCCATTTTGAAGACGTCGTGAAAAACGGAATTCGACAGAGAACTGTTCGTATTCGCGTCTGTACTATTTTTTTATTTGGTTTATATCTTTTAAAAGGTACAAAATTATATACAGCATTTTTAAATTTTTAATCACTTCTTCTAAAAGATAACTTAGCCATTTTTTAAAGATATCATTAAACAGAAAACAGATTTCCAAAATTGTTTGCAACAATCTGTATCACTTTTTTTGTATCGTAAATCGTACAAAACTATACATCGAATTTTTCTTATTTTTAACTCTGGGGATATAAGAGATATAAAAGGAATAACTTGGTAACTTTTTCAGACATTGATTCACACACAAGACAATCAACAGAAAATTATATCTGTTGATTTATACTACTTTTAAAAGGTACAGAAGCACACTTTTCTGTACGCTTTTGTCGTCAGCTATATTCAGCCATAGCAATATTCGACGGAGAATTATTTCCATCCGTCTGTAAGATTTTTATTCTGTTTATACCTCAAAAGATACAGCACACTTTTTAATTTTTAAATATTTTTGAAGAAATAGGATGATATTGTCAAATGGGATTCGACAAAAGTCGATGGGATTCGTCAATAGAATTCTCGACGGTCTTTTATATCCGATTGTATAGTTTATTTTGTATATCAAAGAGTATACAGATAAGATACAAAAAAAATACAGAAAGATACAGAACTATAGAATTGTTTAATTTTGAGGTATCTTTTATAAGAAGTAACTTGGCTATTTAAGAAGAATATTTAAAGATATCGTAAAATGGCTAAATTTGGCACAAATGTGATACAACAAAGAAGCGTTTGTATCGCTTTTGATTTTATTTTAAGAATATAAAATTATAGCATCTTTTAATTTTTACGCGCAGTACAATCTTACAGTACATTTTTACTTATAATTTTTAATGATACGCGCAGTACAATCTTACTTATAATTTTCATAAGTATTTTCATATATCTTTTTATAAGTATTTTTTAAACCAGGCGTCAAGAGTTCACATCGATACTATATTTTAAAAATACGTTTCCAAATTTAATGTAAGTGTCAAAATTACGAGAACTGCTTTAGTATAAGCAGAACTCAAAAATCAATTGCAGTCTGATCTCTATATTCATAGATACGTCTTTTTCGAATATATAATATTTGTACTTTTATTTAATTATGTTGATTTAAAATAATTTGAAAAGTTTTTAATTGCTTTAATTATCAAAACTTTCTGAAATGTACATCTAGAATTGTATGTCAAGAACTGCTTTAAAATTAGTATAAATCTCCAAAATCGACTGGTGTGTCACTTCGATATTTACAGTTACGGTTGTTTTTATTTCCCTTAATTTATTTATTTCGAGTTTTCACGAAACGAGACGCCAGCTTCACACACACACACACACACACACACACACAAAAGAGCTTTTGAATAAAAAAAATATATCAAATATATCTGTATAAGAATACAGAACAGTATATTTAATACAATAGTATTTAATATAATTAAATTCGCGCGAAAGGTGCGAATAGTAGCCGCGCTATTATAGATTTCCTAGCCAAGACCTAAGATAAGAGATAACGATATATCTTATCAAAAACGCGATCGCGAGAGGTACAACTAGAGATTTTGGCACGCAACGTAGACACGGTTTTCCTGCAAACATATACTTAGCAAGGTAACGCGCGTCTAGCGACGAACAAGGAGATAACTCGACGGCATCGAGGCACGCCTAAATATCGTGCGCGAAACCATATAAGAGGTGTAAAGCAGAAGACGGACGCGTTACGGCAAGTACTATTCGCCGCGCCCTGTAAAGCGTGTAGTGCGTGCTCGAGTATTTGGCACAACCGCGTTAAGGTCGACTTGCGCGCTAGAAAGAGAGAGATGACTATCTTTATATACCGTTGGAATCTTCGTCCGGCGATCGCCCGGTAGTCCCTTGCCTCTCTCCTTATCTCGTTCCACGAAACCATAGATCAGCCCGGAAGAGAAAGAGAGAGAAAGAGAAGCCGCGTTCTCTTCTCAGGTATATTATCCGCGTGTTCGTGGCGCGCTAAAATACCAAAACCCCGAAAACGGGCGTTAAGATAGCGTTGGGCGTGACCGAGTCTGGGGGTCTGCAGGCAAACCGCGCTTAAAGAAGGGTTACGGCGAAGTAATGGTCCGTGCTGAAGGGGCAGAGGTAGGAGGAGACGTAGACGAAGGTACGAGGGTGATGTTTCTTTTTTTTCTTTCTGCACGCATTGACGATAGACTACCTTACAATGGTTCTAGGCCTCAAGAAATGAAAAATCAATATCGGTCGTGTTCACGCACTCTCTTTTATTCATTTCGTCGATCGGTCTTGTCTCAAGATACCATTTCATGTGCAGCATGCTGCCGCAGCAGTTTGTTGCTGTTGGTGAAGTTTAATTGAACGAACAGCAAAGGCAACAAAGCAGAAGAACACGTAAGTTGATTCTAATTATTTTGTATTACACGTGCAGGCAAAGTGGCACTTTGTGTGCGTGTTTTCTGTGCGGAAAGCGGCCGATTTCCCACGCCGCCGCAAGATGGCGGCGTGCAATCGGCCACCTCGCGCACAAAGCCACTTTGCCTGCACTTGTAATACAAAATAGTATGTGTATCACGTGCGGATTGACAATTGTTCACTCGTATGGGGTGGTCGCACTCGTGATCAATTGTCAACTTTCCGCACTTGATACACAATATACTAATTATTATTATTATTATTATATTAGTTAAATAATGGATTTTAAGAATAGAATAGATTATGAGAATATAAAAGCAAAAATCGTAATTTTAAATAATAAGACAACAAAGAAATATGCTCTAACAAATTTTGCTCACGTGACTGATTTGCTGCTGCAGTATGCTGCGTATGAAAAGGTATATCTTTAAAGTCGTGATCGTCGGTTAAGGGATGCGAACAAGAGAAACATCGGGCAATATGCCAGTAATTCGATTGAGAAACTTCTCATCGCGCTTAAGAAATCGTCGCCGAGCGACGAATACCTTTTTATCGCGGATCTCGGCAGAAAAGTTTTCGTGGGTTTCACAGTTTAATCGCGTCTCCCGCGAACGTCGACTATATTAATACCTCGTACTTGAATCGTTTTCTCTCGCTTTCTTTTCGCACTGGCAAGCTTGTCGATAATGAGTTCTATAGAAAAATACTTTCGGCGCCGGACGAGGTGCGCGAATAATTTCGAGAGACGCTTGGAAAAATATTTTTCGATTGAAGGAACGCCAATGCCGCCTGAGAGTGCCGTCTTTTATAATTCTCTCCCCCGCTGTAAGCGCAAGCTTATACTTGAAAGCTACCCTAAGCAAGTTCCCTCCCTTTTAACATTTTTCTTTCTCATTTCAACTCTCAAACTATCAAAGTTCCACGTGGTGTGTTTTGAATCGCGGCGATAAGAGCATCGTAGCAACGTTTTATTCGCTTGCCAAAGCGGCGTCTTACGACGATGATAGTATATCGATAATATCGATGGTAATTATTCCTACAAATTGCAGCAAAATATCGTAAAACCATCCGGGCTCGATAATTAATAGCGTCACTATTATCCGATGGGAAACGTAATAAATCATTCTTCTATTTTCAGAGACTGTTTATTATGGATCGTGACTCTTTATTGCCGATGCCACTCGATTGCACATTGTGCAACGCGCCTTTCTATTGTCTCCGACGCCATGCGCCTGTCGGAACTTTGTATAAAAGCGTAAAAATATAACGTCCGTTTCCTTTCTGCGCGTCCTTTGAGGCCGCTCGATAATTGACGGTCATTATCGCAATTTGCTCGTCGTATCGTGCCTCGCAAAAAAAATATGACAAAATAATCAACAAAATATAAGTATCTCATCATCACGTTCAAATGCATCCGTGCATTTACACGGAAAGAATTTTCTTAGAATTTACTCTAAAAATTATGATGATTGTGAGACAATATGGTATTAAAAGAATTTTATAAAACTTTCTCTGATTAATATTCACTACAATAAAAAATATTAATATGTACATATATGTAGATATATATTAATATTTTTTATTGTGATAAAAAATATTAATCAGAAAAACTTACAAAAATTCTTCCAATGCCATATTGTCCCACGATTACCATAATTTTCGCAATAAATTCTAAGAAATGTTTATGAAGAAATGTTTTACCGAATAAAAAATATTGATACCGTTCCGATATGAATAATTAATAATAATTAATCATGTACCTCGGAACAATTACATATATAGAATCGTGAGAATAATGATAGAATAAATTTTTACTAGTACATATCTCTTAAGAGCTGAAGATAAGACGAAAACAAACTTCTAAGAATCTTTTTGAAAGACCGTATACTAACGGAATTATAAAGAGGAAACTTTATTGGCGATAAATTACGCTCGTAGAATATTCCCGCCGTTATCCATCGGCAATATCAAAGTTCGCGAGGAAATCAATGGCGAATAGATGAGCACAAAGGGACTTACTACGCGGAGTTATGGCTTTTAGAGTTTTAATTCGTCCTGCTACTACACGAAGAAATCCTTCTCAGTCACGATATTGCAGAATCAACGGCGGGATCTCGGCGAAAGAAAATGCTTTTGCCTTTAACTACATTTGTATCGAGAAAGGGAGGAAAGCAGAAAACGTGAAAAGGGATCTGCATGAATATTCTTACATTTTATATATCCATTGCCATTGAATACGATTCTTTGTGCCTCTATACCGGATTACACGAGTACGTAGAATTTCCGCGGAGACGATCTCGTTATCGACTCGATAATCGTTACTCACAGAGCACCCGCGGTACAAAGAGCAAAGCCGTGATCCTGAAAGATCATATACTCTTCTTCCCGGACTGCTTCCTCGTTCCCGTACTAAGTGCTCGTTCATTAAAAATAACGAAGGTCGACTGCCGACAGGAAAGCGGGCTCAATAATTGAATTTCCAATACCTATTTACCTTTGCAGAGTAAGGCTACAAAGAGAGAGAGAGAGATCACGTCACAATTTATCCCCAAAGGTCTTGTAAAGCCTCATCACGCAATTACTCGCTACGATTCAAACCGAGCACGAGCTTCCTACGGAGACTTACTTCCAGACGGAAGTTCGCGGAGTACCGCACGTGAAAATAGCGAAAAACGCCCGAAAATGTATCACCGCCATCCTATGACCGCGCACGCGAGAGCTTTAACGTAGAGCACTTAATGGAAAACCCCTCGAGTCGTCGCTTCAGAATAGGCGGGCGTCGCCATGACCGTCTAACCGTCGCGTATATTTTCTCCTTCGTACGGAAGAAAAGAGCTCCGTGACCGCCCCTCGTTTAAGGGACGCGCAAGAAATAAGGACGTATTGGAGGAAAGAATAAAAAAGAGGGAGATAAAGGATGGGGAGAGAAAAAAAAATAGTGCGCGCAACGCCCAATGTGGGACTGTAAGGGTGGACCTTAAACCGAGAGGGTACATCTCACCCCCGGTGGAATTTAATTTCGACGTTTTGAGAGGACCTTCCGTCCAGCACGTGTATGTCGAAAGCTCGCGAGAAGTAGCACGTTTAATATTATCATTGTTAAACGACGAAAATTGATTCAATTGTGTCGGGAAACGCTTGCAAACGAGTTGACAATGTTGCGCGGATTTAGAATTATTTTTTTTAGATATAAAAATACATCGACCTTTTGATTTTTTAGATTTTTTCTTATCAAACTCTTTTTAGAAAATATTCAGAATAATGTTACCTCGAGTTTCACATTTAAATTTGATTTGCGTTTCAGGGTTTGGATTTGTTCGGAAAATTCTTCGAATATATATAAAACGGGAAATGAGCACATTATTTTTATGAAAAAAATGTAAAAAGACTAGGAAAAAGATCTGTATTATATTTATCACTTTTTTGAATAAACGATATGTTTTTAACAAGGATATACTTTACCCTTATTTAACAAATTGCAACATAACAGACGAACTGGCAGCCAACAGACGTAGAAGAGGATTATAAATGATTAAGCAAGAACGTACTTCGTTAGTAAACCTTACTCTGATCCTTTTAAATTGCGCGTAAAACCCTTTAACGCCTTAATCGACGCGTTCATGATTCAAGAATCCGTTCCCCTCGCGAATAAAGTTTGTAGCCTCTTGAAGCCGTCCGGACCGACGTTCGTCAGCATTAAAACGAAGGTTAAATCTCTAAGCGAGAATTCTGAATAAACTATAGTATTTATAAATACAATATAAATTTGTGCTCACTATATTATGGGTAAGATTATAAGATCATAATCTATAAGAAATAGTTCGTCTCGCTAAATCGAACTTAGTTGAAGTAGATTGTCGAAGTCAAGATGAAGGGATCGCTAGACTGCGTTATATTTTGCAAACGAGTTGACAATGTTGCGCGAATTTACAATTATTTTTTAGATACAAAAATACATCGACCTTTTGATTTTTCAGATTTTTTCTTATCAAACTCTTTTTAGAAAATATTCAGAATAATGTTACCTCGAGTTTCACATTTAAATTTGATTATGTAATTTGCGTTTCAGGGTTGGATTTGTTCGGAAAATTCTTCGAATATATAGTATTTATAAATACAATATAAATTTGTGCTCACTATATTATGGGTAAGATTATAAGATCATAATCTATAAGAAATAGTTCGTCTCGCTAAATCGAACTTAGTTGAAGTAGATTGTCGAAGTCAAGATGAAGGGATCGCTAGACAGCGTTATATTTTGCAAACGAGTTGACAATGTTGCGCGAATTTACAATTATTTTTTTAGATATAAAAATACATCGATCTTTTGATTTTTCAGATTTTTTCTTATCAAACTCTTTTTAGAAAATATTCAGAATAATGTTACCTCGAGTTTCACATTTAAATTTGATTATGTAATTTGCGTTTCAGGGTTTGGATTTGTTCGGAAAATTCTTCGAATATATAGTATTTATAAATACAATATAAATTTGTGCTCACTATATTATGGGTAAGATTATAAGATCATAATCTATAAGAAATAGTTCGTCTCGCTAAATCGAACTTAGTTGAAGTAGATTGTCGAAATCAAGATGAAGGGATCGCTAGACAGCGTTATATTTTGCAACCGAGTTGACAATGTTGCGCGAATTTACAATTATTTTTTTAGATACAAAAATACATCGACCTTTTGATTTTTCAGATTTTTTCTTATCAAACTCTTTTTAGAAAATATTCAGAATAATGTTACCTCGAGTTTCACATTTAAATTTGATTATGTAATTTGCGTTTCAGGGTTCGGATTTGTTCGGAAAATTCTTCGAATATATATAGTATTTATAAATACAATATAAATTTGTGCTCGCTATATTATGGGTAAGATTATAAGATCATAATCTATAAGAGATAGTCTCGCTAAATCGAACTTAGTTGAAGTAGATTGTCGAAGTCAAGATGAAGGGATCGCTAGACAGCGTTATATTTTGCTTCCTGGCTCTTTGTCAATTCCGACCTGTGCGAAAGCGACGCGGTAACCATCTCCGACAATGGGAGCAGTAGGTTCGATCCCGGGAGCACAATTGTGTTCGGTATGCTATAGGGAGATAGAAGGCAGAGAGAGAGAAAGAGAGAGCAATGCTCTCTGAAAGAGCCTTCAGTGGCGCAATTATTGAAACCGAGTAGCTTCTGCACTATGCAGCGGAACTGGCGTGTATATACGTGCATATGTCGCTGCTTATCACGATAACGATTACATAGGCATAATTTAAAAAGAATTGCGCGGAAAGGTTCCCAACGATCTCGGGTTACACGTCATGCGGGTGGGCAAACGGACGAACAAGGGTGGGATGGACAACCCGGTCGATTAACGATAACGAATACTAATGGATCGGATGAGCTAATTTACCTTCATTAATCGATTGGTCTTCGAGTTTGCCTTCGACTCCGCGCTCCTGAGTCATCCGAGCGGAGAGAGGATCGTGATCTAGTCGGGGTTAAGGGGACAGATCTGTGTAAGTGCGCGCATGAATGTATGTGCGAGAGAATGAGAGAGAAAATTAGCGCTAGGATGCGACGAGATACTTGACCATACCATATATTAGATAATATAAAAACAACATAATGAAAGAAATTCTTTAAGTCGGTGTAATAAAAGAGTTAAACGACTCTATAAGTCTTCTACAAATTGCTGGCAAATTAAAATAATTACAGAAATAAAATAAACCAGAAAATAACAGAAATGGAAAACCATAAATCTGAAAATATTATTAAATGTATGAAAAATGTATGAAAATCATGACCATACCATATATTAAATAATACAAAAACAATATAAATATTCGAAAATAAAGTATGAACTAAACATACTGAAATCTAACTAGAAAAAACAATAAAATAATATTAAAATAACATTAATAACATTAATAACTTTGAATTTTTGCTTCAAGAAATGTTTTAAACTTCAATGAGATATAAATAATTCGACCGCAGATTTTGTTAAGTCAAATAATTTTTTTTTTTTCAGTGATAGAATAAGCACCATGAGTTATAACAAAAACCGATTATTTAAATCATTGATTCGCGTGAACACATAATTCGAGATATCGATTAATTGCTCACGCTTAGAACATCAACAGTACAAAACGATGTACAAAATACCTTTTATTTACTGAAAATTGCGCGATCACTGAAAAAAAATAATTGACTTAACTATGCATAGAAATAAAACCCGAGTGAAAAAGAGAAAGAAATAAATGCATTGGTACTATTATTTGAAAATGTAACATTATTTAAATAATGTAAATTTACACGGAACTTGTTATCAAACGCATTTTCCTATATATAAAGTTATCTGAGGAAATATTATCGCTTTAATAAATATTTTTTCAAAACGCATTGAATTTTAAAACCATGAGCTTCTACTAGAATTAATAAAATACGATACAGGATAATGTATAA